CACATATCCACTGGATCCCGTGGATATTGAAAACTATGGATAATAGTTAATATATATGTAGCATGATACAAGGGGAAAAAAACCCAAGGAAGACATTATTTTCACATGCATTACCAAAACTGGTCACTAGATGGCACCAGGGACCATGCAATGTATTCATCACTAACAAGTATTCATAGCACAGTCTCTGGCTCCATCTAGTGGCATGTGATGGTAATACATGTGAAAATAGTTTTTTCTTATATTTTCCTTTTAATATTTTCAGACTGGATGAGTGAAACTGAGGATACGATCCTGTGGTATATGGGGGTTCTACTGTATCTTGTTTTTTCTCCATGACCCTCAGTATCCAGAGCACACAGGCTTTCCTAACAGGCTCCCATCCAGACAAAAAGGCCTTCTCCTCTGAAGGTTTGCTGCATGCTATCACTTGATCAATGGAAAACTATCCCATTCAGACTTCTCATTTAGGAAAATGACTTTTAAAAGCAGATATTTACTATAGGAAATACCTTGTGGTAGAAGTAACGGTAGGTGCCCCTGTTCTAACCATCTAAGTTGGGGCATGTAGAGAACCATGGCTGCCCCCCGCCTTCTTGGAATCAAAGCTAAGATGTTTCAGCTATAGGACTGAAGATCAAGAGAGAATGGGAGCTGAAGCAAGAGAGAATGACCCTCAGGAGCCCTCAGAGTATCACTTTAGATTGATGTCATGTTTCATTGTGGTGCTATAGTCTAGAACCATAGTTCCCAACCTTCAGTACCCCAGGTGTTCCTGGACTGCACAGCTGGTAGTGAAGGCTTTGTGGAACATGAGGGTGGAAATCACTGGTCTAGAAAAGGGACAGAAATGGTCTTGTTCTCTTTCTCCTGTAACTTCCCTGCTTCTTTAGCATAGGTTGGGTGCTAGCTTATCACAACTGACTGATATGGCAGTGTGGAATATCTACAATGGAAAGAGTTGCGTCTTATGTGCATGCTTGTCACGCATAGACTGTTGCACCATGCTGACTTACAGGCATGAATGAAGTAGGACATGTTACCTATCACACCACAGCGAGAACTTCTGTATCTCCTCAACATCGATGTTTTTCAACACTGATGTGATGAGTTACCCTCAACCCTGACCTCAACTAACTACACGAGCAGACGGACAAAACAATCTCATCCCCCATGATCTAGGGAACACATCAATGAGTCAAGTACTCTTTGAACAAGCACACGTAGGTTGCATGTGTCAGGTGCAGTTACGATTAAAAGAAAAAAGTACAGGTTTCAAGAATTAGGCCCCAAAGTGATAAAATCCTCCAGCATTAATTCTGCATTTCCTAGGAAACCATGCATGAAGAGCAGTGAAGCGTAGATCATTTGAAAATATTATTTTCTACTGCATGGAGGAGAAAATAATGTCCTCTATACTTATGCCCCCAAACTTAACACAGGGGAGGTACATGCACCCCAGTTCAGTGATACGATCAGGTTTCCTCTCAATGAAATAAACAGTTAATTACAAACATCTGTTTTAGCCTACATTCTAATTACCTAATCTAGCCATCTGTAATTTTAATGATTTCCCTTGATTTCCTTTCTTTGCATTTGATTAATGGGGACTATGATTTGAGCAAATAGCTCCCCTCCTCCTTTTGCAAACAGCCGCCACCACCTCTCATCAGGAAAAGCTTTGGGATTTCTGTGGCTGGCACAAACATCCTGGCAGTTCCAGCTGCAAGGCTTTAGTGCTTGGAGCCATTCCGGGGAAGTTTACTTCCCCTGAGGTAAATGAGTAAACATGTAAATTCCCAGGAAGAGAGACACCCCCCTCTCTCTTTTACATCTTCTAAAGAGTTTGCCAGCATCAAGTATATAACATGAGAAGAAAAAGAAAAATTGACCCCTGTGTGATTATAATGGTCCCTTCATCAGAGGTAATGCATGGCTTTTCCAAACACAGACAAATATTCCCTCTATGTCTCCAGAAACACGCTGCCGAGTGCGCGCAACACTCTGTGAACCAGCTACCACATGTTTTGAGCCCTCCGGGTGACTGCAATAAGCAAAAACTCTCAGAACGATCCTCGCATGTTTCCTGGTGACTGGAGCAGCAGCTATCAAAATGGTTACGTAGGAACACTCAAGGAAGTCTAGTCTCCTTAATGCTGTGTTTCAGTTTATTCTGACATCCTCCGGCAACCCCTCAGTTCTCTTAGTTGGAGAGAGAAACAGACTTTTAGAATTTTGTTCTAAGAATACAGCAAAGAGCTCAGAGGTCAAAAGGTATTCATGGAAACCTTTTTTTGATCCATTTTGCAAGACGTCGGATACTACTGGAAGATGAGGGTGCTAACGAACAAAATCACAGAGGGTGCTAGATTCCCCACCCCCAGGTGCTTTAGTTATGCTTTCTTAACCGGCCATGGTCGTCTGGAGGCTTCAAATATATGCCCACTGCTTCCCAGGCTCTTGTCTGAGCAGCAACACTGAGTGATAGTGTTAACACACAGGATCTCGATGCCGGGAAAAGCAACAGAGGTAACACGGAGGAAGAAGTGCCCTACACTCCATCGCTCAGAGGATGTATTTCTACTAGAAATGTAATCCCAGTTAATTATTGGACGTTCACCCAAATGATTATTTGGAAGGGACATCTTTAACAGGAAATATCCAGGGCCCTCCCAAAACAAGACTTGGCTGAGGACTAATCAGGAAAGTTACTTTTTTTTTAAAGACATAGTATTGGTGAGGTATTTTCTGCATGCTCGACAATCATGCATGAAACAAGGATTCACATTAAAAATATTTGCCAAGCAAAGAGTCTGAAGACTAGCAGATGGACCAGAAGGGCTTCCAGTGAGCTTTGCAGAGAGGCTCACAGTAGATTGTGCCTCGTAACAACAGAGCAAGAGTTCAGGGGTCAAAACAAAACATCTGTAAGAGTACCATGAACGCAGAACCGTGAGAGGGCCAAAATCAGGGTGCCCCTTCTGCCATTGTTTCCCCCTGGCTTTATTAGCAAGCTTTATTTGCAACACTTCTCAGCCAGCCTCTGAGGCAGCCTGCAAGAGAGACATCACACAAGGTACACAGCAAGACTGAGAGGTAAATCAGCTGCCGTGTGTTCCCAGATTAGAGGAGTGGGTGGACAGTGATGGAGGGGTTGGGCTAGTGTGGAAGCTCTGCTGAAGATCACAAGAGGTTCAGCCTAGAAGCTAGCAAGTAGCAGTTCTCGTGGAATTGAAAGCATCCGCTAGACATCAGCCTCCCCCACTACTGTAAGGTAAAGGGACAGCCATGTGATGGAAGCAACTGTCATTTTCCGACTGGAGGTCCCTTTGACCTTTCACGTGAGCAGGAGGTACAGAGAACCTGGTGCCTTATAGCAGTTGCCTATTGACGTGTTGACATTTCCAGTTCTGGGTAAGAGCCAACACCTTGGCTTTTCACACATTTCTTTCATGCACACCTCCCACTAGGTGGAGGACGGCTGCCAGACAGAGTCATATGGGAACAGCATCCCAGAATTCTCCTCTGCTCTGCTTCTTAGCGAGAAAGCCGCCGGGCACTCCGTGGCGCACATAAATATTTCAGTGAAGGGGTGAAGAAGGAGCTACTCTCACAACACACTCAGTAACAAACAACTTGAGAGGAAGGTAAATATACACTTAGACAAGGCACAGATTCCTAGTTTTGCTTGCTTAACTGGGGAAGAGCGTATGGAGACACTCCCTTAGCTGGTAAACCACGTGTTAGGATACTGTCTCTGGATGGGGGCTATAAAATATGAACTGGCCAAGAATAAAAATGTGCGTACGTGTGTGTGTGTGTGTGTGTGTGTGTGTGTGTGTGTGTGTCTTGAAGATGGGAGTTCATGCATAGGCATAGGACTCATCACCTCCTAATGACCTCTACCCATGTATTTATCCATCTAGAGCAGTGGTTCCCAACCTGGTAACCCAAACGTTCTTGGACTGCAACTCCCAGACACCCTTGCCAGCACAGCTAATGGTGAAATCTTCTGGGAATTGTAGCCCAAGAACATCTGAGTTAGCCAGGGCTGGTAACCACGGATCTAGGTAGAAACAAGAATGGGGGGAGGGATCTTTCAGAAGTCTCCAATAGTGTGATTCTTCTCTAAAACAAAGCATGTCCATCCTTTGGGAGGGGGCTTTGAAAAATCAGAAATACCCACGGCAGGCCCAGGTGTGAAATGTCCCCCAGGCCACGTGAAGCTGCCTGCACCAGTGTGAAACACACACAACCTCTCCACTCATCACAACTCTTCTAGGAACTCCACAGCAGACAATAAGCCTGTTTTAAGCATCCCAGAACAAGAGAAGAGCCTTGCAGGTGAGCCCAGCATCCTCCTTCCCCCAGTGACGAACCAGAGGGTTTCGGGATGCTCCCGAGTAGGATGATGAAGGTGAGAACATTCACGCAGTGTGAAAAGACTTGAGGTCACCCAGGTAGAAGTTACAGCCGTGGGAGCTCTGCAGCCATTAGACATGTCCTCCCCATGAAGAGCTCCACAGAACTGAGAAATCTTGACCTCTGGAATGCTAAGCTGAAATAAAACATTGCCTCGGGTTGGAAATTCACAACAGGAGTCCCATCATTAAAAAAAGAGAGAGAGAGAGAGATCACAAATTCATTGCCACCTTCAGTGCCTCCTTGGAAAAGAGTGTTTGATTTTCTTATTTTTGCCTCATTTAACTGAAATCATACCTATTTTTGCAACACTGCCCTACATAACTATATAATAAATTTTGTTTATTGCGTATATCGAATGTTTTACTGTTGTTGAGCATTGCTGCAATATCTCCAGATCTAAATGGTTCATAAATAGCAAATAGTTTCTTTGAAATGCAGGAGGCAGCTGAGAGATACCTGGGACCTTCAAATACTCAACATTTTGGTGCCTTGTTTGAAAGATGCTCCTACCTGCCCATCCCCAACAGGCCCTCCTTAGGTTGTGAGTTAAGGAACAGACGCATCTCCTTACTTACTGCTGGCCCAGTGAAAGGAATGTGGTCGCAGTTCTCCAGCCAAGACTGGTTGAGGCTCTCCGCGAACTCTTGGAAGAACGCATGGGACTGGTTGAAAATCGAAAAGCCCATAATGTTCACTCGATCGTCCAGAAGGCTGTCCAATCGCTGGAGGGAGAATTCCTACAGGAAAACCCAAAAGAATCAAAACACAGAAGGCAGAATTATGAGGTGTGAAAAAGCAGCATGTTCTTCTTTTGAAATTTCCAGAAGGGCATCCATGTTAGTTTTGCGCTTGTTGGAAACACAATGCAAACACAAGGTCATCATTCCTAAAGGTCTTGAAGTGAAAAAACCCCATTATATTTCCCCATAGTGTACTGATTATTGTGAAAGGCTGCCTGGCACTCTCTCCAGGAACTATTGGACCATCTACGGGGGCCACATGTCCATCATTTAGAGCAGTGCTCCCCAACCTTGGGCCTCCAGATGTTCTTGGACTACAACTCTCAGAAGCCTTCACAACCACCTTTGCTGGCTAGGATGTATGGGAGTTGAAGTCCAAGAACATCTGGAGGCCCAAGGTTGAGGACCACTGATTTAGAAAGCTGCCGGAGAATAACCCTCTGTCAGAAGGTGCCCTCCAGATAACATGCTATCTACTCCATGTCTGATTTAAAGATAAAGAGCCATAAGACGCGAGATGAAGGTTAGCCATCCAGTTAGCAGGCTCAACAGGAACACAGATTATTGTCCCAGTCTTCCTCACTTCAAGGAGACCTTTTATAATGAAAGCTGACTGGATAGTTCAGTGGGATAGGCCTCTGGCTGCAGAACCAGAGGTTGGGAGTTCGATTCCCCACTGTGCCTTCTTGACCGGGGCTGGACTTGATGATCCATAGGGTCCCTATCAGCTCTGCAATTCTAAGATCTAAATTGCTCAAATTATAAAATCCTTTCCAGTTTTACACCTAAATAAATACATGTCATTTTATGGAAACCGAGTCCTCTTTTATTGTCCTTTTTTTTTTTTTGGTGATACATGTTGTACTTCTTGGTGACGTGTAAGTGGACACCTCAGGACCAGTTCATCAGCATTCTTGACAGCAAAGAGGAGAAAATTACGAAAGAAATCCCAAACCTGTAACCCTACACGAAGACTCAAGCTGTCACACAGCCCAACACTTGGTAAAGATTCTCAAAAACAAGGCAGACAACTTACTACAGAACTCTTCAATGTTCCTGCTAGATTATTTTCCGCAGTGGTTTATAAGAAAACGGGAAGAGAGAAGGTCTAAAATAATATGGAGACTGGAAGGAAAGGGTCATACCTTTCCATATAGACCTCCCTGGACTCTAAGACCATATTCGTGTCTGAATCCAGGTTCCTTTGCTAAATGACTTGAAACATGTAACTACTAAGAAGGATCATTTCCAGTTGTAACACTTCCAATATACAATGTCATATCCAGCAAAACAGACCTGATTGTGTCTTTTTTTGCACTTGTGAAGAACTTTTAATGAACCTTTTAGTTCTACTTAAAAACTGTGTTGGCACTTTTTAGATCTTTGCACTGTTGTGTCGTTTATGAAGTTTTTATTTAACCTCTGTTTTATAAATTAGGGTTTGTTTTTTTGCTTTTTTTTGTTATGTGCTGTTATGCTTCTATTTTGATGATGCACAGAGTTTCAGCTCTTGGGCCGCCTGCGGATTGAATCAGAAGTTGGTGACGTTACTTTTTGTTTTGCACTTGCCCTGCTGGCTGGAGGATTCTGTGAATTCTCATCCATAACGGGAACTTTGCCAAGCTGCAAATGCAATAAATGAACCAAGACAAGAAATGACACGAGACAGATCCAACGGCATATTTGGCGAGCCAATGCTAATGAAATTGAGACCTTCTCTATCCTGCAGTGGCTCTTTGCAGTGCAAAGACCGGCTCCAGAGAGCTTCTTCACCCACTGGAACAGATCTTTAAGGTGCGCAGGAAGAGGGGTGAAGAAAGAAAGGGAGTGGGGAACTAATTCTGGTAAAAAATAACAGGAAACAGTGGTTTATACAAGTGGTTCCCAACCTTGGGTGACCCAGGCGTTAGACTGCCACTCCCAGAAACACTGGCCAACACAGCTAGTGATTAAGGCTTCTGGGAGTTGCAATCCAAGAACACCTGGGTTACTCAACATTGGGAACCACTGGCATACACTATTTGATCCTCCTGACCATGTGGGGGTGTTAAAACTTGTTTAATTCCATTTTTTTTAAAAAAAAACATGAGAGCAGAAGGAAGTCTTCAGATATACACCATTTGATCCTCCTGACCATGTGGGGGTGCTAAAACTTGTTTAATTCCATTAAAAATAAACATGAGAGCAGAAGGAAGTCTTCAGATGGAACCATAAGATCAGAAGGAGGCCAATGAGAGGATTCTGGGAGTTCAGATGGATTGTTATGCATTACTGCTTTGACTGGGTTTTTAGTGCTACTTGTGTTTACCGTGTCTCAGAGCGGTATTTGCTTGTTCTTTTTTTAATACATGCATACTTATTTTTTTAGCTTTAAATAGTATCTCTTAATGTTCTAAGCTGCCTCTTTATACACATTGTTCTTAGCTTTAAATATTGTCTTTTAATGGTGCAAATCACTGTTGCATACCCATTGTTTTCATCTCTAAATATGATGTAAGCCACCTTGGGTCCTTTTTAAGGAGAAAGGTGGGGTAAAAATATTTTAAATAAATACAGTAATGGTTCCACTTTGTGCTCTCCCTGCTTCATCTTACAGAAGGATAATCTCAAATCCACAAGGCATGATCAGATCCATTTTGTTAAGCAACAGCAGCCCTGAAGCAAATTAGTATCTTGAGGTGCAGATGTAAATTTCACTCACATAATGAGAAACTTAATTTACATTTTATCGTTCCTTTTTTTTTTTTTTTTTTTTGGTTGCTACTATTTTTTTGGCTGACACAACAGATCTTGAAGGCCTCGGGAACAGCGGAGCAAAAGTGCAATTTCTCCGGCTTAGGAAGCTCCGAGGAGAACAAGATGAGACAGGGGATTAAGTGGTATTTTGGACACAACTGCATTATCATGGGGTAATGCAAAAGAAAGAGGAGGGGAAAAAACCCCTACTGTATCGATTCATTTGAATGATATTATCCTCCTGTCTCCCTGACAGGACATCCATTTCCGCTCAGTACTCAGTCAACCTGTGGAACAAAGGGCAAACCGCTAATGAGAACTGGGAGCTGAGGAAATTTCAGATGCAAAAAGGTATGGCAGTCGTTGTGTTGAACATCTCCCATTACAGGTGCTGAGAGATCATTAAAAAGACAAAACCTGAGGGCAGCAGGGATGTGTCGACAGCCATTTTGCTACCCATAGTGGAAAAACAAGATGGCGGTCTCCTCCAATTCCATGTCTAAGGGTTGACTGGACAAACAGGGAAATCTCTCTTCGACACAGGTGATGGAAGTGTGGGTGTTTTCGCAACGTCGCATGCCGCCTCTAGGAGGGAGGTGTGGCTGGGGGGGGCACCTTTTTTGGGACGGGATGAGTGTCGTCCTATCCAGAGAGCCTTTCTGAAAGACAGACCTAGACTGAAAGGTAGAGGGGCCTGAAGATGATTCAAATGCTGGGAACCTATTGTAGATGCCTCTTTCACAATCTCTGTTTCTACAGAAGGCAATAAAGACTTTTCTGCTTTGGTTTCTGAAAGGCAAAGAAAAAAAAAAAGCCCCTTTGGCTAAATCTGGAGAAAGAAAACGACAAATCTCAGCTTTCTTGACCTGGGCTTTCAGCATGCAGTAAGTGTGCGCTTTAAATAATCCCCACCCCACCCCTGGTATTGATATCATCCATGATGATTATTTCCAAAGAGCTAGCCTGGCATTATTAAATAAGACAGCAGAACTGTGTTCCCTGGGAGACTGCATGCAGGAGATATTAGAGGCCAAAAGGCTCTCTTCGGCAACTACTGCTATCTTTGGGAAAGGAAGAGACTGACCTAAGACACACAGATTTTACAGCATCAGGAAAAACTTCTTGGAGCTACTTAAACCTTTGGCTTGGAGAAGGATTCTTCATTAATCAAAGCAGGATGGAAGGATTTTGCAAGACTCTGGCAGCCCTGGCATCATCGCCGCCCCCATGATGCTGTGACTCAGCAGATGAGATGTTTTTGATACTGTTTAACATATGAAAGTGTCACATTTCACTTTATTGCTCAAGTGCAAGGATGCAACAGGCAGGCAGCAGCTGAAAGCCGAATGCACAGTTGTGCCGAATTCTCATGACTCCAGCCGTGTCCAGGCCAAGAATGTATCCCTTTAATAGTTCAAACATGACTTGTTGATAAGATGGGAACTGGTGCATTGCCCAAGAGGAGAACGAAAGAGGGTGTCTGTTTGCATAAATCTGCATATGCAAATATATATATATACAGATGCTAAATGAGAAATGGTTTTATACACTTCCCCCATGTCTTAACATCAGTACAGAGCAGACCCAGGAACTCTTATGGGGTGATGAATGGGACAGAAAAAATGTCTGTTGGAGGTCAAGAGAAGTTGATTTGGCATTTTTATTTACCTCCTGCACATTGCACTGCATGAACTTTCCTCCCAAGGATGAATAAAAAATTGTGTCGCTAATCCTTACAACCATCCCATAAAATAGGATTCTACCATCAGCCTATGAGGCATTTTCGGAGTCATCACCACCATCAGTTACGTTCACTTTTGTTAGTGATTGTCATGACTTATATCATTGATTTGTCATTGTGGTGTAGCTTGAAACCACTTTGGGACTTGGGGAATGAAAAGTGGTATAGAAATGTTTAGAGTCATCACCACCATCAGTTACGCTCACTTTTGTTAGTGATTGTGATGACAATGATTGCTTTGTCATTGTGGTATAGCTTGAAACCACTTTGGGACCTGGGGAATGAAAAGTGGTATAGAAATGTTTTCAATGAATGAATGAATGAATGAATGAATGAATGAATGAATTAGTGCAGATGGAGGGCTGAGTTTGTGATATATGGATTGCCTAAAGTTACAAGGTGTGTTCTTGGCCCTAGAGAAAGATTCAAACCAGACACTTCTCAGTTACTACATTACAATTCCCATTAAATGAACAGATGCTCCTAAGGCCCAGTAGCACATCTGCCTAAAGTATATAGG